GAGTGTGCGAGCGCGATAGCAACATAATTACGCGCGAGCGATAAGGATGGGTAGTTAGGGGTCATTGGACAAAATTCTACGTGCTCATGGACCAGACTTTAGTGTATTTTTAAGTGATAGGTTCAATTTCTAATAGAAAGTGACGTACCAAAATAATTAATTTAAAGTTCCTTATGATAGTTCCTATTAGTTGATTTAAAGATAAACAAGTTTATAATCTATTAAGATAATTAAGATAGTAAGTGATAGGCTCAATTTCTAATACAAAGTGATGTACCAAAGTAATTAATTTAAAATTATCACTTCACGGGATTTATTGCAACAATATCTATTTTAACGGTAAATAATATTTACCCTCCCGACGTTATTATCCCGTGAAGTGATAATTTTATAGTAAAAAATGCAACATAATAGTTTAAAATATTAATTAATTTAAAGTTCCTTATCGATGGCTCCTACGTATACTGGCGTAGGTAAGTGAAAAAAATAGATTTTACAGGAGAGCCATTTAAGTAGCCAGCACCATACTGGCTACTTAAATGGCCAGTATGGTTCTGGCTACTTAAATGGCTCTCCTGTAAAATCTATTTTTTTCACTTACGCTAGTATACGTAGGAGCCATCGTTATTATAGTTCCTATTAGTTGAGTTAAAAGAAGATAAACAAGTTTATAATAAAGATAAAGATAAAGATACATTTATTTGTTCAAACATGTGTACATAAGGTGTTAAGTCTATAATCTATTAAGATAAATAAAAGTCTGATTAGATTTATCATTAGTAATTTTTAAATTTTAGTTTTTAAGTCATTTTAAGTTAATGTATTATAATAAAATTTATTCTCTAATAAATACTTCTTCAGTAAGACTGATTAAACGAAATTATTCTACGACATGACTTTTTATTTAATAAACACTAACCAAATGTTTACTACTTCTGGTGAGGATGAGTTCAAATTTGAAGGTCACCGTACTGCTGGAAGGACCAGCAAGCAAACACGTACAAATTGCGTACTGCGGGCAGGACTTGCGACAATCTTCTGGCAGGACGTTTAGAACAAAAAACCAGTCCTTCCAGAAGAGCTTCCAGCAGGACAAAGCACCGGGCGATCTATCACTAAAGTATGTAACAAGAAAAATATCCTAATATGAAAAAAAAATCATCATATATTTTTTACGCCGACTATACCTACACTGATTATGCGGACGTCTGAGTAAATTGAAACTTTTGTTTTTCACAAATGTTAATGTTAATCAGCAATAACATTTTGTAATTGCTGATTCTATAAAAAATTTTGGCCAGTGATCGTAAACCCTGTGTTTGAAGGTTACTTTTGTAATTATACATTATATTTTACCCGTTAACTAAGCGGTACAAATGGAAAAAATGTTGACTACCTCTTTTGCTGATCTTGCATTATTTTTAGATAAATTATGACCTCCAAATCGATAAAATTTAATAACTCCAGTAGTGCCACATAGTGCTCATCAACCTTCAAGGTTAAGGTATTCTTCAGCTTCAAGACCAATCTACAGCAACGAAATAATGTTCGTAAGTTTTTTTAACTTTTTTCCTTGTGTGTTTTATGAGAATAATAATGTGCATAATTATGAACTTAGGCAGTTCGATTTTTTCAAGTTGTTTACTGTATGTTGTTATTGAATGTTCAATACATGTATTGTATTGAACATAATATGTCGTACCTACATCATAATTTCGTCTTATAACTTTAACTCTATATTTTNTGTACCGCACGGAGTGAGCCAGGCCTGCCGATACCAAGCTCCTCATCCGACGCAAGCGCCCCCGCCGAGCGCGGCCTCCGGACACCAGCGGACGCCGCTAGCGCCGCCGCAGCGCTCGCGCGGGCAGACTCAGACACGCCGGTAGACGAGGTACGTCATACCGCCGGCAGATTGACTTATTTTCACGAGAGATGGCGCTTACTTACCAATGATAGTTTAATATTATCGTGGATCAAAGAAGGGTATAAAATACCTTTTCTTACGATTCCTAAACAGGATTTTATTCCATTACCAAAAAAATATTCCCTAGACGAACTGAATGATTTTCAATTTGCTACAGATGAACTTATAGAATCGGGTGCGATATCTGAATGTACATCATGTGAATTACAATATTTATCAAGTATTTTCTTAATTTCTAAACCTAATGGGAAAAAAACGTTTTATATTAAACCTAAAATCATTAAACAAATTTATACCGACCAATCATTTTAAAATGGAAGATCTAAGAACTACTATAAAATTAATTTCAAAAAATTCATTTTTATGTAAAATAGATTTAAAGGATGCCTACTTTTTATTGCCAATACATGATGACTTCAAAAAGTTTCTCCGATTTACATTTAATGAAAAATTTTATGAATTTAATGTGCTTCCGTTCGGGCTAAATACAGCACCGTTAGTTTTTACCAAATTGATGAAACCTGTGGTATATTTACTAAGATCTCTAGGATATTTGATGAGATATTATCTCATCAATATACTTAGATGACCTATGTCTAATAGCTAATTCATTTAAAAACTGTAAGCAAAATGTTATGCAAACAGTATCCATTCTAGAATCACTGGGTTTTATTATAAACTATGAAAAAAGTGTATTGACACCTAGTAATACGTGTAAATACTTGGGTTTCATAATCGATACGCACAATTTTCACATTGCTCTCACACCTGAAAAAAGGATTTTAATAAAACATGAGTATCAAACTACTTAAAATTGAAAAGATGTACTATACGTCAATTCGCTCGATTAGCTGGTCTCCTCGCCTCATCTTGCCCTGCAATTCAATATGGCTGGTTATACACCAAAAATATAGAACGCTGCAAATATTTAGCATTAGAAAAAACTCAAAATTATGATAGCTTTATGACAATTCCCGAGTATTTATTTGATGATCTTAAATGGTGGCAAACGAATATCGCAAGTTCTATCCCATCAAAAACAATACTTGTCAAAAAAACCAAGTCTCGCAACTCAGTTGTTCTACGGTAAAAAGTTGTGAGATCCATGTAATACCAAGTCCAGGCCAGGAAATCTTTAACGTTTTACATAAATATATTGACTTGGCCATCGCCATTGTTTTCATGCGATGTAATACCAAGTCCAGGCCAGGAAATCTTTAACGTTTTACATAAATATATTGACTTGGCCATCGCCATTGTTTTCATGCGATGGCCAAGTCAATATATTTAATATATTTAATTTTAATATATTCAATATATTTAGCCCGAACGGAAGCACATTAAATTCATAAAATTTTTCATTAAATGTAAATCGGAGAAACTTTTTGAAGTCATCATGTATTGGCAATAAAAAGTAGGCATCCTTTAAATCTATTTTACATAAAAATGAATTTTTTGAAATTAATTTTATAGTAGTTCTTAGATCTTCCATTTTAAAATGATTGGTCGGTATAAATTTGTTTAATGATTTTAGGTTTAATATAAAACGTTTTTTTCCCATTAGGTTTAGAAATTAAGAAAATACTTGATAAATATTGTAATTCACATGATGTGCATTCAGATATCGCACCCGATTCTATAAGTTCATCTGTAGCAAATTGAAAATCATTCAGTTCGTCTAGGGAATATTTTTTTGGTAATGGAATAAAATCCTGTTTAGGAATCGTAAGAAAAGGTATTTTATACCCTTCTTTGATCCACGATAATATTAAACTATCATTGGTAAGTAAGCGCCATCTCTCGTGAAAATAAGTCAATCTGCCGGCGGTATGACGTACCTCGTCTACCGGCGTGTCTGAGTCTGCCCGCGCGAGCGCTGCGGCGGCGCTAGCGGCGTCCGCTGGTGTCCGGAGGCCGCGCTCGGCGGGGGCGCTTGCGTCGGATGAGGAGCTTGGTATCGGCGAGGTTGCTGCGTCGCAGGTGTTGACCTCCTTACTCCCGCCTGCCTCGTAAACGGAAGCGGAGGCTTTGAGTTTAAAAAACGTTGTTGACCGGGTTTATTTTGTGTATAGTTTGCAGGTCTAGGCTGGCTCGGTGCTGAAGTCTTCATTTCAGCTCCAGATTTATTTATTGCTTTTGCAGATCTTAGAGTGTCCGATAGCTTTTCCCCAAATAGAAAACTGTCGATATCCGTGGTATATAAGTGGTCCTTAATATCCTTTTTTATGGTAGAAGTTACGAAACTTCGACGAGCCATAGACTCGACATATTGAGAATCGCATAGGAGCCTAATCCCATCGATCAGTAACTTAATAACCTCAGCATCCTTGGTTTGACTTGCGAATATTTTCGTCAAGGCCTGACTAATACAAGATATTGCAGTTGCTTGTTGGTTTTGTTTCGATTCGATAACCTTGTCTTTTTTAACCAGATTATCGGATAATGCAGCTTTTACTTCGGGATTTAAACTTGGGGCGCCAATCTTCAAACAGTTTTCCGGTAGATGGTGTTTTTCAAGTAGATCCTTTTTCATATCTTTAGAAAGGCCCGTAGTGGCAATATGTTCCCAACGAACGGCGAGTTCAGCTTGTATGGCCGGCCCATAGGTTTTATTTTTGGAAGGAGTTTCACCTAATAGTTCCATAATGCTTTCATCCAAGACAATGGCAGGTTCTGATGATGCTGTCGATGTCGTAGGTAGATTAGGGTCCGTGCTTAAAAGGTCAGGTTGTGTGATCTGTAACGTGGAATCTTGGATTCCCGTAGGAGATAACTCAGTTGTGTTATTTCCATCATCAATAATGTGTTCATTTTCGATAGTACACTCCGCAGATTCTTCATGGTGGGTGTCTAAAAAAGAGAGCAATAGTACGTACTTAGACAAAAAAATACTATGCGCTCGTAAAGTAGGTCACAGGCTCATGACCTGTACTCAATAAAAAGTTGCGAAGGTATCATCCTCATAAGATGAACTCAACGCTTATTTTAATTGTAAAATAACATAATACAAGGCGATAGTCTTATAAACTACCCTCAAGTATTTTTATTGTGAAGGCTGCACTCTCGACCACTCGATTTGAAATAAATCGTAACGGACTATCCTAATACGGCCTCTCCTGAACGTGCGCCGTCCCCGGCCGCATCTTCAAGAAGAGTTCCTCGAAGAGCTGGTGAAAGTCGGTGACACAGCCTCAGCCGGGTCATCGTCATCACTCAGCGCGAGATCCGCCCGAAGTATGTCCTCAGGCGTGTCTTGCGTGGAGTCTCCTGAAGAGCCGGTGAAAGTTGGTGACACGGCTGCAGCCGGGTCATCGTCATCACTCAGCGCGAGATCTGCCCGAAGTATCTCCTCAGGCGTATCTTGTGTACCCTTGGAGTCAGCATGGGATGCCGAAGGGCCAGCCTCAACATCGTCATCATCACCCTCATAGCCTGTAGATGTAAAATAAATTATGACTTACAAAGCAGTCTCACAACATGTGCCTATTCATTCATTCCTCACACATACAAGGCCCTCTTTCAGTAATACACACAAGCTTAGCTATTTCGTCAACTGCACTAACGCTTCATACTTCCAAAGAATTCCATACACACGTGTCACTCATTCTCATACTCCTATCTGTACGTACAGACCCCATAATAACCACAAAGACTGCAAGGCAGTCTACGTACTGAAAAGTACGTCTGCAAGGCCGAAGCCCCTACGCACTGAAAAGTACGTCTGCAAGGCAGCATCTCTGATGCATGCCCCATGGCACTGGCTGATGAACCCTCTCAGCCCGGTGCGCAAAGCGTCATCATTCGCCTCACACACGCTCACACTCGGCCATACAAAGCAAGCTGAAACATAGGAGTGTTAGACAGTCTCACAACTTACTTTCGAAAAAGGCAGCGCAACTCTCAGGGCACCACTCTCCTTTCCAAGGCACCATATATTGGGCCGCTGCTTGGGTGGTCTTGCCACGCGCGCCGCTTAAAAGCTTTAACTCGTATCGCCCGCTTGGTAAGACCTTGACCACGCGGTAAGGGCCTCGCATGCCCGAGTCAAGCTTTCCAACTGATTGGGAGTATTTAATTACAAAGACCTGATCGTCCAGTCTGAATACTCTTGGAGGGTTCCGATGACGATTAACACGAGAGTCCTGCTGATCTTTGTTTTTCTTAAGCAGGTCCTTGGCTCGGCTCCTACTGATCTCCCTCATTGCCTGAAGATTGGGGCTGTTGTTTTCAACAGCAACATCACGGATCAGCGCACGAATGACAGGAGTGGTAGTATCAGTTCCGATTAACAAAAACAATGCTGAAACTTGAGTGGTTTTCTGTTTAGTTATGTTAAGAACTAACTGAATTTTTCGCAAAGCCTCGGACCAGGCTGAGTCTTTGTTATAACTTTCAACACGAATCAGGTTGAGGACGGTCCGTACATAACGCTCAGCTTGACCATTTGCATGGTGCATCTCTGGCGTTATGTAGTGGATGTCGCATCCTAATTCGGATATCCAGTTAGTAAAGCTAGACGCTTCAAACATACGCCCTCGGTCACAAACTAACAATTTTGGTGTACCGAACAATGAGATTGCATCATTTAGGACGCGTTTCAGTTCATTTGTATCTTGTCGATACATTGGGAAAAGCATACAAAACTTTGTGAATGCGTCAACTAGTATTAGGACAAACTTGTAGCCATTCGATTCCGGCAACGGTCCTAGCGCATCAACATGAACAGTATTGAAGGGGACATCTGACTTTTCCCAGGAAGTAATGGGTTGATGAGGAGCTCGTGGGACTCGTTTTTTTGAAATGCAGATAAGGCAATGTGAGGTGTACTTTTGAACAAAGGGCCTAAGGCCCGGAAACCAAAAGTGTTTCAGTATGAGATCCAGAGTCTTGTCCGCTCCAATATGTTCATGTTCATCATGAAAAATGCGTAACAAACTCAGGCGATGTCCTTTAGGGACGAAACATAATAAGCGTGACTCTTCACCTACGGGTGAATAACGGTAGTACAAGAGATCGTTTTGACACACATATCGGCGTGAATCAAGGAGCCCATCTCTAAGCTTTTGAATTAAATCCTGGGTCNATAACGTATAATAATAAAAAGGTTTTCATACAAGCATTTTTTAAACCAATTTCGAACCTTGCCCCCAGGATTTAAAGTATCGATATCTTATCGACTCCATTTTGTCTTTCTTCTCTCTAATTGCTTTTTTCAAAGTGTGCGTCACGTCACGCGGCCATTGATTGGCCATAAGGCACGCCTTCTGGCCAATCACAGCACTTTTAAGCCGGTTGCACATGTTGTCGTAGACTCTCAGTCGCTTTGTTTTTACACAGTTCAATGTGTGTATGGGAGCTGTGGTGGGGGAAATGTGGGGACACTGCAGCCTCGGAGCAAAAAATGGCTACTGGTTAACATTGCGCGTTAACTTGGAGCTAAAAATGGGTCAAAGTTACGCGTCGTGTCACAACGCTTATAATAAAAATGTACGAGCACTTGCACAAAATAGTTGTTACAACCAACCTTGTCTAATTCTCGTCACTACACTGCACAACTTAAAATAATTACGTTTTTGTAGGTAAAAACGTCCTGGTGACGTCACTTAAGCATTTTTCTTATACTGCGTGCGGTCGTTGCGCGTGCGCACAAAGGAATGAGACCGCTCGGATTTGTGGCTCGGAGTGCTCGGACACCGAGCCCACAGCGTGGTAGGGGTGGGGTTACCCGCTCTTTTGTTTTTTACTACTACTACGCTGAATATTGTGTGCGGATTGGCTTGTCGTACAGGGGTACTACACGGTAAAATAAATCTCGGAGGCGAAAACAGGATAATAACTCTGTGGTGTGTTTTAACAGCCGCTTGTTAGATGTGGCCTATGCAATTGATTAGATTACGAAAACGACGCCTGTGAGTTTCAAAAGGCCTATTCCTTCAATGTCTAACACTAACCGTATTGAAAATGACTCTGGAGAAAAACGCGTGCTTAAATTTTTGTGATGAAAGCACTCTTTTACGCAAAACTGATGTTTATGTTTGACGAAGCATTTTAATAATATTTTTGTTGTAAAAGATTTGGTCAATTATTATCGTCCTTACCTCTAGATATAAGCCAATATTATAAGCATGAATGTTGATAACATTGACGTTATTGCAGTAGTAGTGATCAATAATACAGGGTGTTTCTTGTAAGGTGTCAAGCCGAAGGCAGGTGATAGGTGAGGACTAGACCTATCGATTTCACCCCTATGTATGTTCTACGATTTTTCATAGTTTAGAAGTTATCGTTAATTTTAGGCTTTAAATTATTTTATCTTTTTTTTGGGTCGACTTTTCTCAGATTTCTTTTTTTTAACAGATTCCCTATTAATTGCAGATTTTTGAAAAAAATAATCAACTTCCTATCTTTGATGCAAGATACAAAATTTTTGCTAGAAACATAAAAAATATGCTTTTAGCGGAACATTCTAAAATTTTCAACTTAAAGGNGCGACCTTCGTCCCATGGAAGACGATCGTGATGACGCCTTCTTACTGGACGATGAAGACAACTTCATCGGCTTAGTTCGCTTATTTCGTCGTCGGCTTATGATGGACACATAAGTCTTGATATTCTCATAACATTGTAGGTAGCTTCACAGTTCATATTAAAAAGCCTTATTTCATGGCAAAATAAAGAAAAGTCTATGAAAAAGTATGAGTGATGTGCCTACCTACACATTTCAGATTACATAAGATTAACTTGTGGGAGTAGTGAACACACTATATTTTGTGCCACAAACTGTATAAAGGTAAATGATCCGAATATTATAACTATCTTTGCTCGCATCTATGTATAAAATACTAGTAAAGCCTTTAAAAGCGAACCACAGCGGTGACCGAGTTTCTTGCGCTGCTTCTTAATTCTCAGCACTGGCCCACTTACTGTTCCGAAGCAGTGGTATATGAAACTTTATTTTTATTGTATTTTAACTAGATCAGCTGAGCTAGGATGCGCACCCTGAAGGAATCTCCATGATTTTAGACAACAGACGTATGGGCCTATCACTCAAAGTTTATAAAAAGTTTATCATGGCGCGCATCCTAGGCCTACACTAAGGAAATTAAAATTGTAAGAAAAATAATTGACATATTAATTTGAGATACCTACCTATCTTGTGGGAAATTCGTAATGTAATAGGTAGACACACCTACTATTTATTAACTTATTAATTTGAGGTCAAATAATAATGTTTCGTGATGTTTGAGTCTAATATTTTATTTGATAAATTGGCTATTGTCCAAAGATGGTTAAATATTAATTTGAAGATTTGTTTCAATTTAATTAAAAGGAAGATGTGTAACGTGTCAGGAAATTGAATAAGCAAAATATTTATGTGTAATTTGTAAGCTTATAGAAAGTAATTACTAATTAAGTAATTAAGCTTCATAGCGATAAGACCGCCTAATTGTACCTTGTGTGTTCCTTTTCTTCTGTTGTGTTATTTGTTTGGTGTGCAATAAAGTGTATTTATTATTATTATTATTATAAGTATTACAGATCAATGTACATTAATGGGCTATTGTCCAAAGNGCGATGTCCTTTAGGGACGAAACATAATAAGCGTGACTCTTCACCTACGGGTGAATAACGGTAGTACAAGAGATCGTTTTGACACACATATCGGCGTGAATCAAGGAGCCCATCTCTAAGCTTTTGAATTAAATCCTGGGTCTCATTGTCGGCGTTTTGGGCCATTTGTGCCCAATTCAAAGGTCGATCAATATGATTGACTTGCATCGCTGGTAGATTTCTGCTCAAATAATCTGCATGGCCCATCATGGAGCCTTTTCTATATTCGATGGTGAAGTTAAAATCTTGCAGATAAATCCACCAGCGAGCAACCCGCGGAAGCAGATCCTTCTTACGTTCGGTGGCTTTCAGGGCATTGCAGTCGGTTACGATTTTGAATGTTACGCCGATCAGATAATGCCGAAAATGCTGCAATGCTCTGACAACCGCCAACGTCTCGAGCTCGTACGAGTGGTATCTGCTTTCTGCGCCTTGGGTAACTTTGCTGAAATAAGCTACCACGCGTTTGTTACCATCAGAGTGTACCTGCATTAGTACAGCCCCATATCCGGCGCTACTCGCGTCGGTGTGCAGCTCGACCGGTAAGTTAGGATCAAAAATTGCAAGTATTGGCTCACTCGTCAACTGCGTTATAAGATATTGGCGGACTTCCTCCTGTTCAGGTCCCCAAGTGAATTTGACGTCTTTTTTCGTAAGGCGTGAGATACTTGCAGTTTTTGTCGCATAGTCTTTGATGTAGCGCCGAAAATACCCAGCCAGACCCAAAAATTGACGCACTTGTTTAACATTCGTCGGAGTAGGTGCATTTACAAGCGCTTCAATCTTTCGGGGGCTCGGCCTAACCTGACCATGGCTAATAACGCGACCTAGGTACTCTACTTCGCTGCTCAGAAAGGAACACTTTTGAAGGTTAATCGAAAATCCAGCATCGGTAAGAGTAGTTAACACTTCCCGCAACAAAGCTAAGCCGTCACTAACTGTCATGCTTGGAATAANTGTGGCAAGCCTGGTAATTAATACGTTTGGCTATCCGAGTGCTTACAGGTGATTTGACATTCTCAGTCCCACGTAGAGCACAACAAAACACAACAGGATGTGATAAATGTTGATAACATTGACGTTATTGCAGTATTAGTGATCAATAATATACAGGGTGTTTCTTGTAAGGTGTCAAGCCGAAGGCAGGTGATAGGTGAGGACTAGACCTATCGATTTCACCCCCATGTATGTTAACTACGATTTTTCGTAGTTTAGAAGTTATTGTTAATTTTGTGATTTTTTCAAATTTTATGACCTACTAGGCTTTAATTTTTTTTATGCTTTTTTTGGGTTGACTTTTCTCAGATTTCTTTTTTTTGTCAGATTCCCTATTAATTGCAGATGTTTGAAAAAAATAATCACGTTCCTATCTTTGATGCAAGATACAAAATTTTTGCTAGAAACATAAAAAATATGCTTTTAGCAGAACATTCTAAAATTTTTAACTTAAAAGTTTGAAAAAAAAAAGAACTTCCATAGGTCCAAAATAATTTTAAAAACTGCGCAGTTTTCTGAACTTTCATAATACCACAAAAAAACATGTACTTAATAGGCCATTATTTTCTGTAATCGCTTCACTAAAGTGGTAAGTCGGAGATTCCGTTACATGTTTTTGACTTTCTTAGGACTAACTAATGTTTGGAATCCCCTAAGTTTACGTTACGTAAAACACATTTAGAGACAATAACTGAACAGAACATTTTTTTATCCACAACGAGGAAGCTCTTGCCCTTCATCTGGTATTAGGGCATGCAAAAACCGAGCGGTTTGGAAAACCCGAAAAAACCGGTTTAGTTCGGTTTTTAAAAATAAAAACCGAACTAAACCGGTTTTTTCGGGTTTTTCGGGTCGACTGTTTGTAAGTAAATAAAAATGCTGCAAATTATAATAAAAATCATTTTATTTCTTTTATATTCTAGTTTGACAAGATGAAGTTACATGTTCTGAACATAATATTGTGAGATCAATTGAATAGTTTAATTAAAAATCAAATACACCACTAAATTTTTATCACCGAAAAAAAAAATTCTGGGTAATGAGTTATTGATACTAATCCTATTTATGCAAAAAAAAAAGTTAAATAAAGCTACTCAAAATATCATCCCAAAATTGGTAATATTTGGACACACGCGTCGCTAGCACTATTTACGCTCAACGCAAGGCCGCCCGTTACTATGGAGAGAGATGCGACGTTGCCGGCCCGCGACGCTTCCTAAAGGCGGCGGTGTACGTTTGTTGTGCGGCCATTATCAAACCCGGCCTGGCCGCCGGCCGCGGTCGGTCAGTTGCGCGCANGACACAAATTTTTGGCATAATCAGTAACTTCACACTATTGATATTTTATTAGATCTGCTTGTGGTCGGGCCAGGAACCGTGATCTCCAGCCCGACCACAATCGTACTCTTATTACTCAAAAAGTACAAGGCACAAATTCTTGGGATAAGTGGCACAGTAACAC